ATCGTAATGGTAATTACAGCCACCCGCACCCACCTCACCCCCCCTCCCCACCGACCTCCTCAACCCAGCCTGTCTTCCCTACAACTTCACTATACCCATACCTACATCCCCCCACCCCCAAATCGTAGTCTAACATGGTAACTACTAAGCTCACGTTGAGCCTCAAATACAAGTTTTACTAATCTTATTGGAACGGTGAAAGAAAAGTAAAACCTAGACACCTACCAGCGGCGCCCTCCAACTGCCCACTGTAGTAACTTCGACTCAACCATCAACCAGATATATGCGAGTCAAAATCAGGACCAAGAAAGTCAAGGGTAGATTTTTTAAAGCAAGATAATTTAATCATATTATTATTATTATTATTAGATCTATTAACCAATTTTTTAAAAGGGACAAAAATCTATATAACCAGTTAATCAAGGTAGCGCTTTGGTTGTTGCAAACTTGTTAAAATAAATGAATCCCAGGAAGTTGAGATTATTTCAGAATGCTATCAGGTTTGCTGGGGTAATAATATAGATTGTAAACCGCATAGAGATAGCTGTTGAGCGGGAATTTGATACGAATGCTATCTTTTATGGAATTTTAATGTTTTTCTGTTACCCCACCCAACCCCGAAAATATGAATTGTTTAATTAATTAATTATTTAATTAATTAATTAATTAATCAAAATAAACATTGGAATGACTTGCGTCATTGTAATTAGTTGTGTGTAACCTCCACAGAGCCTCTCCAGAATGCAAGAGCCCCTGGACCTGGGCCCCTCCTCCTCCGCCTACCTCCACACGCCCTCGGCACTGCTGACGTCACCCTCATCGTCCGGCGTGACATCACTGGGTCCCTCGTCCATCATCACGTCACCACTCTCCGCCGCGGCGCCGTCCCCTCTCGGGGTACACCACCAACTCTCCCCACCACCACCACCACCACCACAACCACAATCACAACCACAACCACCACAACCACAATCACAACCCTCCCAGCCTCCAACGGCTGCCCCCGTTCTTGGACCACCCTCCGCCCCCACCTCTTCCACATCCTCCTTTCCCTCCTCCTCCTCCTTATCCGCCTCCTCGTCGTCCTCCTCCGCTTCATCCTCTTCATCGGCGTCTTCGGCCTTGCTTCTGAAGGCTGAGGCAGTCAAAGAGGCGTGCCCCAGAACTGCCCAATACGTTTCTCCTCGCTGTGTGGTCTACACATACTTCACCGGGGACGCTGCTGGGGTGGTGGACGAACATTTCTCCAGGACTCTTAGCCTTTCCGGAAACTACGACCTCCCCCACCACCCACACCATCATCACCATTCTCACCTCAACAACAGCAACAGCAACAACAACAGCAACACGGCGGGGAGCCAGACCAGTAAACAATTGCCTTCGTCGAAAGGTGAGTCTCAGAAATTGGGAAAGAGAAAGGGTAATACAAGAGAGGGAAAGAAAACAAAACAAAAAAGAAGACAAAAACAGTAGAAAGAAATCAAATTTGTAAGTAATGGACGGGCGGCAGAAAAATAAAAGAAGAAAGTGGCACAAGGGTGAAGGGAAAAAATGAAATAAAGAAACAAGGGTGAAGGGAAAAAATGAAATAAAGAAACAAGGGTGAAGGGAAAAAATGAAATAAAGAAACAAGGGTGAAGGGA